TTCCAAAGCCCCCAGAGCTTTCAGCAGCTTTCCAAAGCAATCACCAACAAGTTCATGCCCAAATGATCCAACGTTAAACAATTTGGTGAGCAGCTAAATGGAGGCTTTATTTTCAAAGACTTGAAAAGGTTATCATTGAACCCTGTCTTTCTAACATTTAGAAATCAAGTCATTATTTGTGAATGACAAGTACAAACATAATAATTGAAGTAATAAACAATTACTTTTACGACTTTTAAAAAGATTTAACATTGAAGTATGTTTAGCCACTGACAATATTATTTTAGAAAAATTATTATAAAAATATAAATTCAACTTTTAAAATGTAAGTATAAACTATATCACTTAAAAATAATATCAAAGAATTCAATAAAAGTATTTAATTTCTATTCTTAAAACAGTATTTAAATAGCAATAGGAGGGACTCTAGTATTCTGTTTTCATTATATTACATGTGTTTACAATCCAAATTTTCTTAGATTTTTTTTCACATTCTAATACAGAACCATTACTGTGTGAAATCCTATATATCCTTGCAGTTCTTTAATCTCAACATTTGACAAAATACACAAGTCCCATTCGAATTTGAGTATTTTTTTAAAAATTCCCTTGCAGCCTTCTAACAAAAGAAGCCTAATGAGTGTGGCTTTACCCGCATGGACTCCCCACGAATTCCAGCATGCACAGACAGTGAGCACTGTCGTGTGGTTCGAATGCTTTCCATGACAACACACAATACTGCTTTTCTGCTGCTCCTTGACTGACGTATCAAGCTGTGGTCAAAATTAATTTTTCTAAAATAAACAAGAGAGACAGTCACGAGAATCTATGGCATCTGATTACATATCACCCAACACATTTTTTGCTATTTTGTATTACTCATTCACAGTCTACCTTACTACAGGCTTACTACAAATCAGAAAGTATGCTCAAAAGAAATTTAATAATCTGCCTCTCGGTTCTATTTTCTTAAAACATCTTATTATAGGAGTCTATTGGAGAGACTCTCTTAGCATATTTGTTGCAAGCAGATGCCTGTATTCTTTTAATCTAATAATTTAGCAAATGTGTTCATATCCAAAGCAATTTTGTGGAACAATTTAAAATTCTCTTTAAACCAAATGATTTTGGATATCTACTCCTATCAAAAGTTTGGGTATATTACTAATTTGCATTATTTCAAACAGATACATTACATTACTAAAACAAACCTGAATGTTTTAATAATTTATAATGAAGTTTATATAACTAAAAAATTTAATGAAAACACTGCAGTATAGTAATTATTATACTGACCGTGAACTAATTTCCTTGAGTAATGTTGAAACTTCCACTTCATGTTTAGTTACTACACCAAATGAAGCTTTTACTGCAACAGAATCTGATCCAGTAACGTTAATCCCAACATCATTCACAATATGGTTGCCTCGCCTTCCATAGAGTGAAACATCTGATTCATCTTCATAATTCAGTAACTGATAAGATGAAATACCTTTTTTAAAAAAGGAAGTTAATATTTTTCAAATGTCACTAATTATTCTAATGTAGATTACATATGGTAACACATTAATTTACTATTTAAGACTTCATTACCCACCTGTTAAGAAAGGCAAAGTTTCAAACCAAGATTAAAAATAGTCATTCAATTAATTAGAAAACAAGAAGAAATAAATAGCTAGAGTACTTAAAATGAACTCAAATTCGACAGAACTTCTTATGCATCAAGATCCACTGGATAGTTGAAAGAAAAACACATGTTTTTAAGAAATAATTTGTCTCAATGTCCATTTATTTTCTAACCAAGTCTGTAATATATTTCAGTTTGCCAACTGTAATAAGTAAATCATAAAAAAAAATACAAATTATTTTCATCTTATTTGACCATGTGAGATAGGTAAGATTAAATAAAACCTCCATTTCATAGATGAAGAAATATATTACTATGCCATTTTCTAAGCTGATCTGGTTAAAACAATTTATAAAATAATTGAAATAAAATTATACAATAATCTTATAAAATAGGTTTGAAAGTTATTCAATCAATAAAGATTTGATACTATTACAAACTTCAGGCACTTAAGTTAATCATAGTAATAAAAGTTGCTTACCAGCTGAAATTTCTCTATCTCCTAGAAGAATATCTTTCAGTGTAAAAGGTGTCGAGGTAAATTTATATCTAGGAAACAGAAAGCATCGCTTCTTTTTCACCACCAGACTTAGAGGTTGGTATTTGTCCGCTTCACTGAGGCTTGGAACAGGAACTAATCTCCCTCCATCTCCAACTTGCTTGACAAAGCTCTTGGTAGCAGCCGCAAACATATTAATATAGTATCCAAATATCCATCAACTGCAACCCTCAGATAACAAATCCATATTTGCAAAGAAAATCAGGCACAAATCTAAGTCTTACTTGATTTTAAATATAATTATACACTTTAAAATACAAAGCATGGTTCCACCAAGTAGTTTACAGTGTACAGTTCACAACACGGCCTCCCTTGGTGTGCTCAGGTGATGAATTATAGATCAACAGTGTAAAGTGATATACTAAAAGTAAGTCTAATTTGGAATTGCAGTCTATAGCACTAAAATATACACAGAAAACTAGTAAGTTTAAAATGCTAGCAATGTCCTTAATGAGGGTCAAGGTTAATAGTTTGCCAGTTTTGAGGGAAACAGCCCTATGGGAACAATGCAATTAGGCACTAACATTAGCCTGGACACCAGCTACCCTGTACCTTGTCCAAAAGAAAGGGAATTCTTTCACAAGTCCATCATGCCAACTCTGGCAACAGAAAAGTACTGTTTTGAATCCTTATGGTATACAGTTTATTGTTTCAGCATTTCATTCATTGTCCTTGTATGATTACAGCAAGTGATTAATATCAAGAGTCACAGACTATAAGGAAACAAATGTATGCAGATCTTTATAAAATACTGAATGAAAACCACAATACATATAAATAACTGTATAAACCTGTGGGTTTCTTACTCTGAAGTTGGCACATGGACATCTCTTTGAAAGGGGATCCTACTGTCTTTATTTTCGTTTTGTTTCATTATTATTCCAGTAACTCAGCCTTTAAAGAGAGCTACATAAGGATTTGGCTTGTTTTTTAAAGGAATTTTGTGGCTAAAAATACACTTTAGAAACAAATCTGAGTGCTGAAATACTGTATTGCCATAGTTAGGTAGCTGGTAATCGATACAATACATATATAGAGGCGGTAGGGGGAGGAAGAATAGGTTAATTCAAGCCTCAAATAATATAAATCAATTTGATTAGGTTCTGGACATTTTTTTTACATTTACTTTCAAATATCCAGGGCTCACGTGCAAACCCCCCAAAGAACAGTTTTTAATAATGTCCCCTTGTGTGAATAATCTTCCAAAACACCAAGAAACCACAGGGAGTCCTTTCTGCAAGGGGCTAGCAAGTCCCTAGAGAAGCGACTGGGCATCTCACGCCGCTGTCTGACCCCTACACCAAAGGTGGTGCATCCCAGGCAAACGCCATTACGACCAGCACCACAGGTGTGCAGGAACAATATTTAATTAGAATCCGGTCCGCAGAAAAGCCTTCCTTTACACCTAACAGGCCTTGCTGGGATCCGCAGGCCCCGCATTTATCTCGCGACAAAAGCCTGTGAGACAATGACGCCCCACGGAGCAAGGGAGAAGGAGGGGGGTCTGCGGACGTGCCCGCGAGCGCCTAGGGCAGGGCTCCAGGGGAGAGCCCCCCGCAGCCCTCGGGAGTCTCCAGCTTCGGGCCAGGCCCAGGGATGCTCTCTCTAAATTTTGCCTTTGGAATTTTGAAATCTTTGGCTTAAAGTGACGCAGTCCTCATCCTTCACCCCGCCTGAAAAAAACAAAATAAGGCTGAGCTTCAGGCCCACAGACCGTGAGACTTGCCAGCTCCACAAGCCTCTCCCGGCAGGAAACGGCCTCCTTCTAAGGACACAGAACTGAGGCCTCCAGAGGCCGGGCACAGGGCGCCGAGAAGCCCGAGGCCCCAGGTGGGTGGGTACGCGCGAAGCAGAGCCAGGGCTGGGAGAAGGGGCGGGGCCTGTAACCAGGGGGCGTGGCCAGAC